AGACCATATGTAGGTGAATTAATTACATTACATTCCTCTACGGTCGTAAGTGTACTAGCTATCCTTCTTTCTTTATTCTACTTTTGTGTTTAGACTAATTTTGAAACTATATTTTTATCATACCCATAAAATCTAGCAACATTAATATATCAAATAAACACATTTAAAGAGCTCATAAAATAAAAAACCCAGCACAATGGGGACGTGGTTTAGTTGGATCCAGTATAAATTATATCTGACAGTGATTAAAATCACTATCATAATAAATGTTTCGATGCAAATCTGTATATAATCTTTAATTTTAAGAAATTGGTTGTTTATCTAAATGCAAAATTAACTCCTATTTCTATCATTTATTCCTATATGCAATACATATTATGTATATCATATTCATAATATGTAGTTGATTTATAAGTATAATTTATCAATAAATATCTATTAAAGCAATTCAATGTAGTATGGAATTAATATTTAATAATTTTCGGAGAATTTATAAAAAAATTATAAAGTAGTTATTATATTTATGGTAAACATGTATAAAAATTAAAGGGCTTGACACAGAACTTTTTTTATTATAATTTTTTGTTAATTTTGAATAAATAGTCTGCAAAAATTTTCGTCAGAGTAATAAAGATACTTTTACTATTCAATTTTTCGTGCTAACTTCAAATCAGCAATTGTATGTTTTCCATTGCCAATAATTTTTGATATTATTACTAATTAGTTACAAACTATAGCATATAACTTTAAGAAAAAGAGTTCTGAATATTTCAATTATATCATCTATCTAAACGCCAAGAGTTACATAGAAATGATTAATATTTCTATTGAAAATATAAAAAAATCATTTAAAACACAAAAAAATTGTTTTTAAATTATTATAGTTTTTGATTTTTAATTAATATATTATAACTTAATGTTGTAATTTTTATCATTAAAAAATGATTAAAATAGGTTAAAACCTATTTTGTTGGTCTTTTATAGTTGATTTTTTGAAATTTTATAATGAAAAAGTCGAATTGTTACCATAACTTCAAAGTTAAAATTTACATTAATAAATAGAAAATTGTATGAAAATAATAAAATAGTATTGTTAAAATTAATATGCAGTCAGGAAATTTTATAATTACTATTTACTGTAAATTTATCAGAAAAACTCATTATTTTTTTTGCATTTTTGTTGTAATAGATCACTTAAATAAAAATTATAGTAATCATTTCTAAATAATTTTTGGTGATTAAAAATATTCTACTATTGAAATATTCAGAAATTAATTAATTATAATGATTTACTTTAAACAAAAAAACCAATCAAAATATTGTTAAAAAAATCTACTCAATTGAATGTAAAAGTTGTGATAATTTGATGTATCGTTAAAAAAAGTTGGTCAGGTAAGAGCTGAGAAAATAAATGAGAGCCATAAAAAAAAATCACATAATAAAAAAACTTTAATATGAATAAGAAATTTCTTCAAATAGGGGATCTACATTGATGGGGTTCTTGATATTTATTAAAGTTATTGAATCTAAATGAGATAAAAATTAAATAATTAAAAATACTAACTGGAAAACTATTGTAAGGTATTTTAAAATAAAATAAAATAAAATACAAAATCAAAAATTTAAACACAAAAATAGCATACGGTAGTCATTTTAACCATGAAAACAAAATGAAGTTCGAAAATTTTTTTTCCATACTAAAGTATATTGTATACGCTTTAATTTAATATACATATAAAAGTGTCAATATTTCTGGAAAACTTTCAAATGTTAAGTTGAAAAAGTTAATTTTTTGTGAAAAAGTTGTCATTTTGAATCCTCCGTCGCGGTAGTGATTTTTGTTGTATGCGTTGCAACCAATTGTTTTTTGATATATGTTTTTACGTGAGTGTCCGCTATTTTTTTTATAATTTAGATTTTTCATTTATGGGCATCGGCTAAATCTGCCTGCATTTTTTTTAGCCCTTCGGTGATGGTAACCTATATTTATTATTTCATGTTTTGATCCTGAATATTTTTTTTTAGTGCACGTGTGCCGAATTTTTTTATTTTATTATTTAGGTCCCTCAACATGGTAGGCGTGTTACAATACCATCTGTCATGTTATATATATATTTTTTGTGATTTTTTAGCTTCGATGCGAAGATGAGAAAATTAAAATATATTGGTGTATATCAACTATTAATGACTCAACAAACATCAAATATAATTTTAGAACATTGTTATTTTTTTTTATCTTAAATCGTTTTTAATGTACAAAATTTAATTTCTTTTTAAAATCCTACTGTGGTCCGAAAATACATTGTCTCGCCCAGTGGGTTGGCGACCCTTTCTTTGTGAATTTTTCAATACGCCATGAAAGTTACAAATTTTTCGTTGTGGCCAGCTAATAAATTTTTGTTTATATTTGTAACCTTTCAAAGTGGCGACCCCGTTAGGATCCTGGCAATTTCGCTAGACTTACCTAACTTTCGTTTATTTAATATTTAGTTAATTTTATGTTTTCGTAGATTTTTTTTTTCTGAGTTGTAGTCGTTGTATAGTCGTGTACATCATACCTATTTATTTTGTTCATAATGGCTCAAACCATTTTTAAAGATTTCGGTTCCTTAGACATTGTTATTTGCCTCAAACCATGTTTTAGAAACAAAAGTTGCCATGTCTTCCCGTGGTGTACACACAAGTGCCGTCTATTGCCGTCCAAAGATGGAGTAGCGAAATTTCATTTTGGTTTGTCCAAAATCCATAATTATGGCACTAATAACTCATCAACTTTTGGACATCTTATTATAATGTGGTATATATTTTTCTTCTCTTTTTGTATCTTTCTGCAGTGTATACCTTTTTATTAAATAATATTATGTTTATTTTAGTGGTTATTTGACCATGTAGTCATATTTTTTCATTTAGTTAATGATTATATAGATTTTGACTATGGCTGTACATTATGTGAAATAGTTAATTTCTTCCAGTTTTGTTATTTTCATTCCCCTTTTCCATTAAAAGCTGACAGTTCCTCGAGTGTGGTCAGGGTGGACATGGTGAACATCTCATTGGGCCCTCTATATTTATGTAAAAGACCCATTGACATTGGTGAAATGTCAATTTTACCCTGACACATGCGTTGGATCTGTCATGCTCATGCTTTCTCTCCCCTATTCTAATTTTCATATTGGGATCATTGACACCCTAAATTGTTTAATAATTTTATCTAGCTAATTTTCATAAAATTACATCTGTGATCTAACTAAGACAAAAAAAAAACTTATGTATACATCTAACTATTATGTACCGTTGCTCAAATAACTTAGAAAATATCAGGGCCGTTACAATGCTCTAGATTTTATTCTATATACATAAAAAAATAACGTATGATTTTTCTAATTATACAGGGTGGCCCACCACTCACTGACAACTTAAATAACTTTTTGTCCAGTTAATATTTTTAACTGATTTTTTTTTAAATAATAGTTATACGTTAGGTTTATAGCTATATCTCAATAATTAATTTTTTTACATTTTATTAATAAATATTATTTATTTTTAAATTTTAAATAAAACGTAAAAAAAAAAACTAAGATAGCTATTTTGTAGAGTAGAATTTAAGAAAAATTTTAGTAAAAAAATATCTTATTAATATTCAGTATTAAATATTCTGTAGCGTTTGAAGTTTGTGAAATTTTGAATTTTCATGTACTATTTTACGGTATTAAACATTGAAATACGTATTGAAAAAGGACAGAAGAAAACGCTATCTTTTCATGATTACTGTGTATACATATGATGATAATGTGTATACATTACAAACTTGGCATTAATACCATGATAAGAAATTAGATAAGGCAATTATTACTTATCACTCTCATTCAAAAGTATATTGTTCACCTTTAGAATGTGACTGTTAATAAAAAAAAAAACAATGTATACTCTAAAAATTAATTGGATATTTTAAAAAAAATGATGATATTAATTTGAATAGCCTCATACTAAACTATCATATCCTCATAACATTCTTCTCGTAATTTATTCTTATATCTACGTTTAACCTTTCTTTTACCTAAAATTATAGATACACATTTTCTTACATTATAAATAATTTATTATGTTTAATAAAACTTAGTATATGCATTTTGCTATATTAAATTTCTATTTCTATTCTATAATTTTGTTAATTTAAATCTTGACTATTTTGATTTTATTTATTACAAAATTCACTTATAACATTCAATAAATTATAATAATTGTTATACTAAGTAAAAACTGTTCATCATAGAACCTTTTTTCCTCTAGGATAAGGTACAAAATCCATGGTTCTCCGGTTTTGCTTTAGCTTGCCTCGATTCATGATGAACAATCCACGGGTTATTGTTAAGTTAGGCTAGCAAAATATTAGTTTAACTTACATTTTATTAAAATAATTCTCTTTTTACAATATTACAATTCCCCTTAACTAATTTTAAATAAGAGTAGATTTTATTATTAGGCCTTGTGTGAATCGTGAATGTATATAATTTTTTCCTAAACCTCATTTCATAGAAACCTAATTTTTTTGAAAAAAATTTACACAGTATTTTCTTTCTAAATCTTGCTCGTTAAAATAAACACTATTAATAACCATTTCATAACTAATGCAAGATATTATATCAGAAATTTTTTTGCTAAAACATTTTTGAGGTCTAACTTAAATATTTTTAGTTCCATATTAAAAAACACTAAGTCAGTCTATACAATTCTTAATAAAATTATTCCCTAATGTTTAGGAGTCCAGTAATTTATTATTAAGAAAAAAAAGAATATTTTAGTTATAAAGGTATCAGTGAAATATGCTTAATAATAAAAAAATGATAACAAGTTAACTCGATAAGTACTAATTAAAATTTTTTCAAAATTGATAAAATAAAATTTTTTATTGAACTGGTACTTTCTTTATTAGATATACTTAAGTATTCTAGCTAAAATTATAAAATAGCAAATATTAATTAATAATTCCTCTTATTTAGCAAATGAATACTCAGATGACCAAAAATTATTACAATTTGAAAAAGATATGACGAGATATGCTGCTGCAAATGGTGACTTAGAAACATTAAAATTAGTTCACGACAGTGGATGTGATTTGGATGAATATGCAATTACTGAAGCAGCTGCAAATGGGCATTTCAATTGTTTAAAATATACACATGAAAATGGATGTCTCTGGGATGAAAGCACAACAGAAGCAGCTGCAATTTATGGTAATTTAGAAAACTTAAAATATATTAAAGAAAATGGATGTAAATGGGATGAAAAAACAACTAGGGCTGCTGCTGCAAATGGACATTTAGATTGCCTAAAATATGCACATGAAAATGGATGTCCCTGGGATGAAAGCACAACAGAAGCAGCTGCAAGTTATGGTAATTTAGAAAGTTTAAAATATATTAAAGAACATGAATGTAAATGGGATGAAAAAACAACAAGGGCTGCTGCTGCAAATGGACATTTAGAATGCCTAAAATATGCACATGAAAATGGATGTCCCTGGGATGAAAGTACAACAGAAGCAGCTGCAAGTTATGGTAATTTAGAAAATTTAAAATATATTAAAGAAAATGAATGTAAATGGGATGAAAAAACAACAAGGGCTGCTGCTGCAAATGGACATTTAGAATGCCTAAAATATGCACATGAAAATGGATGTCCCTGGGATGAAAGTACAACAGAAGCAGCTGCAAGTTATGGTAATTTAGAAAATTTAAAATATATTAAAGAAAATGGATGTAAATGGAATGAAAAAACTACAAGGGCTGCTGCTGCAAATGGACATTTAGAATGCCTAAAGTATGCACATGAAAATGGATGTCCCTGGGATGAATATACACCTAGGTTAGCTACTTTTAAAAATTCATTAGTTTGTTTGAAATATGCACACATAAATGGATGTCCATGGGATGAAAATACAACAAGAGTTGCCGCTGCCAATGGGCATTTAGAATGTTTAAAATACGCACATGAAAATGAATGTCCTTGGGATGAATCTACAACACAAGCAGCTGCATATTATGGTTATTTAGAATGCTTAATATATGCTTATGAAAATGAATGTAAATGGGATGAAGTAACAACTATGTTCGCTGCTGAAAATAATAGTTTAGAATGTTTAAAATATGCCTATAAAAATGGATGTCCATGGGATGAAAATACAACAAAGGCTGCTGCTGAGCATGGACATTTAGATTGTTTACAATATGCTCATGAAAATGGATGTCTGTGGCATGAAGATACAACAAAAGTTGCTGCCGAGAATGGACATTTAGATTGTTTAAAATATGCCCATAAAAATGGGTGTCCATTGGATGAAGATATAACAAAGGTTGCTGCCGAGAATGGACATTTAGATTGCTTAAAATATGCTCATAAAAATGGGTGTCTGTGGCATGAAGATACAACAAAAGTTGCTGCCGAGAATGGACATTTAGATTGTTTAAAATATGCCCATAAAAATGGGTGTCCATGGGATGAAGATATAACAAAGGTTGCTGCCGAGAATGGACATTTAGATTGTTTAAAATATGCTCATGAAAATGGATGTAATTGGGATCAAAACGTGACTGCAGTAGCAGCAGCATATGGAAATCTAGAATGTTTAGTATATGCTCATAAATATGGATGTAAATGGGCAAAATATACAACTTGGAATGCAGCAGCAAGTGGACATTTAGATTGTTTAAAATATGCATTTGAAAATGGAAGCGAATGGGATGATACAATACCAGCAGAAGCTCTTTCTATAGGTAATTTAGATGTTTTAAAGTTTGCTTTTGAATATGTAGGCAGATGGTGTAAAGGGACAACTAGAGTAGCTGCTTCCAAAGGTTATTTAAATATTTTAAAATATTCCTACGAAAATGGTTTTGAGTGGGCCGAGGGAACCACTGCAGCTGCTGCAAGGAACGGCTGCTTAGACTGCTTAAAATATGTGCATGAAAACGAATGCAAATGGGATAAAGAAACAACCAGAATCGCTGCAGAGTATGGACAGTTAGATTGTTTAAAATATGCACACGAAAATGGGTGTCCATGGGATGAAGATACAACAAAAGTTGCTGCCGAGAATGGACAATTAGAATGCTTAAAATATGCACATAAAAATGGGTGTCCTTTGAATGAAATAACGACAACATTAGCTGCCGCTAATGGTCATTTAGAATGCTTAAAATATGCACATGAAAATGAATGTCCATGGGATGAAAACACAACAGAAAAAGCTGCATATTATGGTAAATTAGAGTGCTTAAAATACGCTCATGAACAAGGCTGTAAATGGAATCAAAACACAACTAGAGCTGCTGCTTCATTATATCGAATCGACTGTTTAAAATATGCTCACGAACATGGATGCGAATGGAATGTTGGTACAAGTAGAGCTGCTACTGTAGCAGGTAGTGTCGAATGTTTAAAATATTGCTGTGAAAATGGCTGTGAGTGTGATGAAGATACAACACTAATTGCTGCTCAATATGGTCATTTAGAGTGTTTAAAATATGCACATGAAAATGGGTTTCAATGGGATGAAAGGACAACAGAAGCAGCTGCATTCTATGCTAACTATCATTGCTTGAAATATGCGCATGAAAATGGTTGTAAATGGGATAAAAGAACAACAATAGCAGCTACACAAAAAAATTGTGTAGATTATTTAAGATATGTACATGAAAATGGATGCGAATGGGATGATAACACAACTAGAGTTGCTGCTGCGTGTGGTTGTTTAGACTGTTTAATGTATGCTCATGAAAATGAATGCAATTGGAATGAAGGTACAATAGTTACAGCTGCTTTGCATGGTTGTTTAGATTGCTTAAAATATGCATATGAAAATGGTTATGATTGGGTTGAGGGTACGATGAGAGGGGCTGCTGCAAATAGACATTTAGACTGCCTAAAATATGCCAAAGAAAATGGTTGTGAATGGGATGAAGGCACAACAAGGGAAGCTGCTGCAAGTGGTTGTATCGAATGTTTAATATATGCTCATGAAAATGAATGCAACTGGGATGAAGGAACAATGAGTGCAGCTGCTGCAAATGGTCATTTAGACTGCTTAAAATACATGCATGAAAATGGATGTATGTGGGACGAAAATACAACAAGACTTGCTGCTGCAAATGGCCAATTTTATTGCTTAAAATATGCCCATGAAAATAACTGTCCATGGAGTAGAGATACTATTAATGAAGCTATTCAAAATGGTCATTCTGACATAGTAATTTATACTAGTGAAAATGGCTGTCCTAATTAGTTTTATTTTCATATACAGTTAAGTTGACTATAATATTAACTTAATAAATTGTCATAAATTTCGATTTTATGTATTTATTGACGAAAATTAGACATTTTACTTTTTAATTAAATACATTTTTGAAAATATAATCAAAATCACATATATTTTATTAACATTTTTTTAACAATTTAAAAAAAACCTGCTCTCCTGACATCTACTTGATATGAAACCTAGATTGACAAGCCTCAATTGAAATTGTGAATTTTTTTAATTAGACGTTATGTTTCTCATTGTAAAGGAATCATGGAATAGTTTTTTTTTTAATATTATAGTACACTTTAAGAGATTTATTTTAGTACAGTTTAAAATAGGACAGTTGTTCTGGAAAACATTCAAAAATTAGATTGAAATAAAATTTTCATTTAGTACTTTTTGTAATTAGGTTTTTCATTTACTTTCATTATATAGTAATCATACCAAAAGAAAGTCAACTATCTCTTTTATACTTTTCAAATATTTTACTAGGAACATTTGTTTTTTTTAAGTTATATCATTATTAAAATTCAGAAAAATAATGTTGGAAATGCTACTTTTATAGAAGTATAATTTTAAAAAAATTTTTAGATTTCAATAATTGCGAAGGTAATTTTGATTTTTTAGTGTTGATATATAACTAAGATAAAATTTAGAATTTTTTGACGAATTTTTTTAATTATTAAAAAAATAGGTCCGACGAGTGCTGAGAGTTTTTAAAGATAGACACAAAAAAAAAGCATAATAGTGAAACCATGCGTTTTGTACAAGAAAGCTAGACCGTAGAATGGCTAGTTGTACACCGCATACATTGCCGTGTTACCTTACGCCTGTGTACAATCGCTTATTAGAAATAAACTGAATCAACTCAAAAGCTCTAACTTTATTCCTCCTTTAACCGGTTTAGATTTCTTTTAGGCAAGTCTATTGATGTAATACCAAATGTAAACAAAATTATATTGTTTATTTCAAAAACAATGTTTAATAATTCTGAATTTTTTTTTTCCATGTCTGTTATTTATATGTTTACTTTTTAAAACTTATTTAATTGGGACTCTTACCTCATTGATGGGGTAAAGGTAGACTTTTATGTTGTATTTTAATTCAGTTCATTACTGAATAAGTAGAATTTTAATTTCACTATTAATACTTAATTTGATTATTGAATAATTTTTCTAGCTTCAAAAAAATAAAAATTTATTACTAACATATATAACTAGTAAAAATAAACTCTGCACTCTTACCCCAGGTTACTCTATGACCGTGATCAATTTATTCTTAAATATTTGATCTTGTAATTAAACATATATAGTGTGACCCAGCATTCACTGACAACATAAATAAATTATGATACAGTTATTTTTCTTATCTTTTAGCTTCGATGCGAAGCTGAGAAGGTATTGGTTTTACTAAGATGTGTTTTTTTTTTTTTGTGTCTGTTACCACTTTTTCTCAGCTCTCACCGAACCGATTTCTTTCAATGATACGTCAAAAGATCACAAATCATATCTAGTCGAAGACATTGCCCTCAAAAATTGAAAAAATTTCCCTCGTTCCCCGTAAGTGAGGGAAACCTCCAAAAAAATTACAAATTTAAAAATCGCTAATTTTCGAAATTTTTTCAATTTTTTTCACTTTAAATTGCCATTACTTTTTTAAAAATAACCAAATCAATATAATTCTTTTTTTATATAGATGAATGATATCATTACCTTTCATTTGGTATATATTTTTTTTATATGTGACCCTTTACTTGCCCACAGGGGGGGATTTAAAATGACAACTTTTTCAAAAAAAGTTAATTTTTTCAACTTGATTTTTGAAAATGTTCCGGAAGGTCTGACACTTTTAAATACATATCTTAAATTAAAGTTAATGTAATATATTTTATCATGAAAAAAAAAAATTTTGGACTTTATTTTATCTTCACGGTGAAAATGGCTACCAAATGTTATATTTGTGTGAAATTTTTCAATTTTGTATTTTACATTTATAACTTTATTATGCTATAACTATTTGAAAAATGTATAGAACAATACAATTTTTTATGAAAAGTAGTATTTATATACATCTTTCATTCGACAAACTGTTTTATTAAATCGGACCATGTCCCTATATTTGAATGGAGTTCAAATCTAAAAAATGTACATAGAAAGTATAACTTTTTCAAATTAACTTTTGATAGTGTTCCGAAAAGTCTGAAACTTTTATATTTATCTTAAATTAAAGCTAATGGAATATACTTTATTATGGTAAAAAAAAATTTCGAACTTTATTTTGTCTTCATGGTGAAAACAGACATCAAACTNTAAAAAAAAATTTCGGACTTTATTTTATCTTCATGGTGAAAACAGACATCAAACTTAATAAAAAAAATACGATTTTTGTAAAAAAATTCTTTTTTATATTTTTAACTTTATAATGCTATAACTTTTTGAAAGATGTATGGAATAATGTAATTCTTTTTTTTTTTGATGCATGATGTCTTAACCTATCATTTGGTATATTTTTTTTTTACCCTTTAGCTGACCACAGTGGGGGATTTAAAATGACAACTTTTTCACAAAAAAATTACTTTTTCAACTTAAATTTTGAAAGTGTTCCGGAAAGTCTGACACTTTTATTTATATCTTAAATTAAAGTTAATGTAATTTACTTTATTATGCGAAAAAAAAATGTCGGACTTCACGGTGAAAATGGCTACCAAATGCTATTTTTGTGTGAAAATTTTCGATTTTGTATTTTACATTTTTAACTTTAAAATGTTATAACTTTTTGAAAAATGTATGGATCAACATTATTTTTTTATGAGAAATAATATTTTTTAATAATCCCTTTTTCATTCGACATACTTTATCTTAATTAAGATATTAATAATGAACCAGCAGATCATGTAGCGTTTGGAATACTCCACCAATTTTTTAAAATTAAACACTATTTAAAGATTTGCTTAGAAGCGTTTTTTTTTTATAGTGATTTTAATCACTGTCAGATATCATTATACTTAATCCAACTATGCCACGTCACCACTATGCCGTGACCCCCCTGTGCTGGATTTTTTTAAAAATAATAATGATGCTATGAAATTTTTGTTTTGGTATTTTTTAGTATCATATATTTCTTAATTTATTAGTTAATTAATTTTTTAATTTTTCTCTTATAAATTACAATATATCGAATTAATTTTTTAAATGGCAATATACATATTGATTATAAAGTTTAAAATAATGTAATAATAAGAAAATTATTGTTCAAAAACAACTTTTGGACAATTACTTTGGATATTATTAATATTTTTATACATTGGCTGTAGGGGTAGTGTGGTCGAAAAATGTCTAATAATAAATACTGACATGTATGCGATTTATACTAAGTATATGTTTCAAAATGTTTATAACTTCCGAATCACTAATAAAAGCATTAAAAGAATTTCTGAGTATATATAACCACCCCTTCTATTATCGCAAACTAAAATTGAGCCTGTCTTATATTGTATTAATTATTATAGATTTCTATATAAGATTAATACTTCTTTAAAATTAGATGAAATAAGATATATTCGTGATACGTTATCAAAACGTCTACTTAAAACTTATTTTCAGTTATTTAACTGAATTAAATTTTTTAGATCAATACGTGGTCAAGGTACTACGGTACCTAAGGTACTAAATGTGTAATTATTATTATTATTTTTTTAAATGACTTAATTATTTTTTGTATAAATTATGTGATAGAGTATTTAATTTGATCATTGTTCAATTTTAAGTACATTATTACTAAAACAAATTTTCTCAAAAAAATATAACCATTAATTTGAGTATATTATTTACATAAATAATATATAAAAGCTTCATATTTTCATAAAAGTATATAGAGATTTATTTTATCTGACTTATTTCACCGACCAACATACAATTTGGTGTCATCAATATTTTAGATGATTTTAAATGCAACGTTGATGCTGATCTGACCAACAGATTCATGATATAAGCTCGGTCGGCTGGCAACACTGGAGTTTCACCAGAAATCGTTTCTATATTGGTAGAGCTGCAGGAAGCCGGTTACGTTGAACAGATACCATCGGCGTTATGAATAAGAACATTGCTAACGAACTCCACCGGCAGCCCCGAAGGACGTACACCCGTTCTCGAATAAATATCAAGGGTCTCGATGATATATGGCACGCTGACCTCGTGGAAATGCCCGCATACCCCGATCGACGACATCGGTATATTTTAACGTAAGTCGATGGATTTTCAAAATACGCGTGGGCCGTCCTGTTGAAAAATTAAAATGGCCAACGAAGTTACCGCAGCCATAAACGGATTACTGAAACATGGTTTTCATCCTAATCTTTTGCAAACAGATAATGGTAAAGAATTCTACAACAAACAATTTCAAAAACTGATGTCACAATACGCAATCAATCACTACTCTACTTATTCCACGATGAAAGCGTGTCTAGTGAAACATTTTAACCGCATGCTGAAAAACGCAATGTGGCACGACTTTAGTGAACGTGGCTCGTACAAATGAGTGAATCGGTTGTCTTCGCTGCTGCACGACTACAATAACGTGCGTAAACATAGAACAATCGGAATGGCTCCAGTGCAAGCAGTGAAAAACGCAGACCTGGTCCGGTTCAAGTTGCGCCAAATACCGCAAAATTTACCGGTAAAATTTCGCGTGAGCGACAAGGTGCAAATCAGCGTACATAAATCAGTGTTTGATAATGGTTACTTACCAAATAGGAGCACCGAACTGTTTATTGTAGGCCTCCTCTGTGCCAGCTGCCGGAGAGAGAGTTCTTTTTATGAAAAAAAATAGCTTTTTATATGCCGAATAAATTTTATTTTATACATGTATTTAATATACATGTATAATACACAAGGGATTACAAATACATATCTAATTAGTTTTTTATGATATCAATATTCGCAGGTACACAGCATTGTTATTATCAATGGTAGTATGGCATATTGTTATGAGTTTATAAATACACTAACTGACAATATAAAAAGTATATCTATTGATAGTCATATTTGATAATAAACGATCCATGATTGTGACAGCAATGTCATAAAAAACCAATTAGCTACCTGTATTTATAATCCCTCGTG